CTCGTTAATTTTCTCTTCCATCAGACGCTTTGCCTGCTCTCCATTGTCGACAGCCAAGCCACTCTGCAACATACACAAACAGACATTCAAATGGGTACAGTCAAACAAAATCGCCCGATCGTTCACACTCTATTAGCTGCCAACAACGCGACTTTGATGAAAACGAGAGTGTCGTGCTATATGCGAGTGCGCAAGGGCGCGCGGCACGACGACGGGAATGGCGGCCACTGACTGTGACTGTATAGTGCATACATTGTGTGAGACAAAATGCGTGATTTGCAGATCGAGTGGACAGGGATGGCGGTGAGTAAAGAGTAGAAAAGAGATAACAAAAGATCAATGGCAGAATCCTTTTACTACAGTGATAGAGAGTGTACAACATTTTCAGGTATGCGTCACCAGAGCAATCGACGATACTTATGGCCAAGTATGACACGCAACGTATGAACTACCTGGTACACGCGGAGGAGTTGGCACACTTCGCTCAAGCTATCGAGATGGAAGCTCTTCCTGGACGTTTCTTTAGATAAAAGGTCGTGGCGCATGTGAATGAGTCCAGCACGCGCAAGGAGACGCGCACCTGCTATCGATGCGGTAAGGTGGGACATGTCAAGGCTGACTGTCGCAGCAAAAGGACTGGTGATTTAAATGGCGGCCTTCGCGGCAGACGCGGAGGCAACATGGTGCTTTCCGTTGGCGAAGGCAAAGGAAACAAGGGCTTTCGTGCCGTGAAGAATGACCTCGCGATGGTAATTGGCGATGACGGTGACACCGGGGCTGACGACTCGGTGCTCGATAGTGGTTCCACTCGCCACCTTGCCAACGATGACACACTCTTAATGGACTTAAGAGATTGTAAGGAAGAGTGTCACCTTGCTGAAGGTAAACGGTACGGCAATCGCGAGTCGGAAACGTGGTGCTGACGGTACAAGCGAAAGGAAGGCAGAAGAACGTAGGGCTGACGGGTGTATTCCTCGCGCCCGAGCTGGCGCGCAATATCATGTCATACGGCAAGCTTGAGCGCAAGGGGTTTGGCCTTGTTTACGATGGTATGACGCGCGGCCTAGCGAGGCGTAGAGACGGCGAAGTCGCGTTAGACGTGATGATGCGGTCCAATGTGCTGGACGTAAGGACAGTGCAGTCAGCACGCACGACACAGACTCCAAACGACGTTCTGATAGCTGTTTTAATGCGGGAAGAGTCGCCTGATGATAAGGATGCTGATTTGCAGATGGGCTCTCTACTACATTTTCACCAGCGACTCGGGTATCTCGCTTACGATAGCATCGAGAGGATGGCGAAAAAGACCCAGCGTTCGTCACCAAACTCACGGATAAAATGCGGCCCACCTGTATCTCGTGCGCTCAGGGAAAGCAGACTAAGAATTCCCAGTCGCGGAGAGACACTGGCGCGTATTCGCCAATCGATAGAATTGGTGGAGTAATTTGCTCGGATTTGAAGGGCCCAATGACTCCGAAGGACAGGCATGGAAACCGTTACCTTGTAAATTGCATAGATCACAAGTCTAACTACTGTCGCGCCTTTCTGGCTCCTACGAAGGACAAGGCCGCGCAGAAGTTCAAACACTTTTTGAATTTCTTCGAGCGCCGTTTCAACTGCCGAATCCACGTGCTCCGCACAGACGGGGGTGGCGAGTACGCGAACGTTGACCTGTTCTGCAAGTCGATAGGAGTTGCACGGCAAATCATCGAGGCAAAAAATTAGGCGTCGAATGGAAAGGCGGAGAGAATGCACAGGAAATTGCTGAATATGGCACGCAAAATGATTTTTGCCAGTCGTCTACCAGTATCGATTTGGGGGGACGAGGTTGAGTATGCTGCATATATACTCAACCGAAGTCCAACAAGTGCTAATGCAAATAGGGCGTCACCGATGGAGATTTTGACTTAGCACGCTCCCGACCTGCGTGATATAGTTGCTTTCGGATCGATCTGCACGGTGTACCGGGACCTCAGAAAGAACTCGCAAGCGCAACGGGCACAAATTGGTGTCATCATCGGTGAAAGTGATACGATGAACGGGTTCAGAGTGTATATTCAGAAGGAGAACAAGGTCACGGTGACACAGCACGTGCGAAACATTGAAACCCTCAGCGTGGAACAAAATAGCCAGCTCCAACGCGCACTAGAGTTTAAAGATCAGGCGTTTGTGATAGTCGCACCAGGCACATCTTCTATTGGGGCTGGACCAATGGCTGTGACAAACATTCCTGCAACGGATGAGGTGCCTGCGCGAGAGTTGCGAGCCGGAAAGAAGAAGACTAAATCCTGGACGCGTGCGGTGCATAGGACGTGCAGTGCATAGGACGTGCAGTGTGACCAAGCGTACGCAAGGTTTAAGCGGTCAGGAGGGGTCGGCTAAAAGAAGGTGTGCCACAAGAAAGCGTGATAGCGCATGTGTACGAGCGTGACCCCAAAAACTATGGGGAGGCGATGCGTAGCGCAGAAAGAAAGGGTTGGGAGAGAGCAATGATGGAAGAATTACAAGCTCTTGAAGATACCGGCGTGTGGCGCATTATCAAGCGACCTAAAGGAAGGAACGCGTAGCACAAGAAACGGGTATACAGGACGAAGACAAATGCCGACGGTCATCTAGAACTTTTGAAGGCAAGACTTGTGGCGTGCGGCAACGAGCAGGTGTTTGGGGTGGACTACCAACTCACCTTCGCGGCTGTTATGGATATGTCAATTGTTAAGGTGATTCTGGCGCTTTCAGCGATTTGGGGCGTGCCGACAAATCATGGGGACATCCCAAACGCCTACGTAAAGGCTGAGAAGGAATTCCACCTGGAGACCCTGCTGCATATTTCACAGGCGGTGAAAAGAAACGAGGAAACTCTTAAGACAATTGGAGAAACAAACAAGTAGGAAGTTGTACTTAATTTACATAGAATTCTGTACGGCCTCAAGCAGGCCGGACGGCTTTGGAGCCAGCTGTTGCACGCCCTATTGCTAGACGCTGGCTTCAGCCAGTGTTAATCGGACATGTGTTTGTACTGGAAGGACGATGGTGGTCAGCTGGTCGTCGTGGGTGTATACGTGGACGATCTGCTGGCCACCGGAACCGATACAGCTGCTGATGAACGCTTCTTCAATCAGATTAGGAGCCTGTCCATCAAGGACCTCGGCGTCGTCAGCAAATTTCTTGGAATTCGTGTCGCAATGGAAGATGACGGCAGCTACGTTCTGGACCAGAAGGAAGCGATAGGCAAGCTGTTGCGCTAGCACGGACTCGATAATGTTGAGGCGACGCGAGCTCCGATCGGGTCAGACTGCTACGAAGTTTAACCAGAAGTCTGCGAGCTGTTGGGTGAGAGCGCAGACAGTGGGGGTCCAAGTGTCCGGACGTTCCAATCCCTTGTCGGCAGTGTGCTCTGGGTGGCGCGCTGCACGCGACCGGACATAGCGTTTGCAGTGCATATAGCAACGCTCCAGACCCACCAGCCACGACTGCACGACTTCAAGCTTAACAAACGGATCGCGCGCTACCTGAAAGATACGCGCAAAGTGAACTGCGCTTGAAGACAGCGAAGATCTCGGATGGGGAGCTGCAGCTTGATTCCTACTCGGACGCCGACTTCGCCGCTGACAAGTCGGACAGAAAGACCTTGACCGGTGGGATCGTTCGCCTGAACGGGATGCCGGTGAGATGGACGGCGAAGAAACAGGGCGGAGTGTCGCTTTCCACCATGGAGGCGGAGTTTGTCGCTGCGTCGGAGCAAGTGCGCGAGCTGTTTGTCATTAGAGAGATGCTGTGCAAAAGCGGGAATCCCCCGTGCTCCCGATGGCACTGCACGTCGACAATCAAGCGACGATAAAGCAGTTTGCGGGCGAGGCGTCGTATCTAAAGGCGAAGCATATTGACGTGCGCCTGAAGTTTGTCTGCGACTACGTCCGGCGTGGGGTAGTCGCGGCCCAGTATATGTGCTCGGACCTGCAACTGGCGAACCTGCTGACGAAGGCCCTCGACGCCGCAGAACTCGCAGAGTTGTGCAAGTTGCTACAACTCGCCTAAATGGACGGAAAGTCATGGCCGAGGAGGAGTGTTGAAAACGAGAGTGTCCTGCTATATGCGAGTGCGCAAGGGCGCGCGGCACGACGACGGGAATGACGGCCACTGACTGTGATTGTATAGTGCATACATTGTGTGAGACGATATGCGTGATTTGCAGATAGAATGGACAGGGATGGCGGTGAGTAAAGAGTAGAAAAGAGATAACAAAAGATCAATGACAGAATCCTTTTACTACAGTTCAAGAGAGTGCGATCCCTATTGCGAATAGACTTCAGACCTTTGCTTGTACCGCACAGTACCTGAGGCCTGGAAGACGATCTAGAGAAAAGCGGGTCCCGCGCAATGGCTCAACTGCTCGTCATTCGTTTGTGCGTGAAGTTCCTCGTGGTCTCTGACCTCATAACTCCATCAAGAGATGTAGTCCCCACGGATGGCCAAAACTGGGTCTCGAAATAAGCCAATCGGCGTGAGACATTCCAGACGATCCACGTAGTGCTCACAACCACACCTTGAACCTGATATTTTCAAAACTATCGCTTTCATCACGGCTACTGCTTAGTTGACCGATACACAAGCTTCATTCATACATACATACACACACGCAAACATCAATGCATACATACATACATACATACATACATACATACATACATACATACATACATACATACATACATACATACATACATACATACATACATACATACATACATACATACATACATACATACATACATACATACATACATACATACATACATACATACATACATACATACATACATACATACATACATACATACATACATACATACATACATACATACATACATACATACATACATACATACATACATACATACATACATACATACATACCGCACTGTACAACCCTCGAGCTGATTCCATCATTCGTTCATTCATTCATTCTTACGACAGCATATGTGCACTTTGTGGAGCTCGTGTCAAGGCATCGAGTCGTCTGGACGCTTGATGATCACCGTCTTGTGCTCCAAATAGTTGCGTAGACCCAGCTCGCCGTTCTCACGGCCAATGCCAGAGTCCTTGAAACCGCCAAACGGCGCGTTTGCGTCGAATACGTCGTAGCAATTCACATACACTGTCCCTGCACGTAGTCCATTCGAAATCTTGATGGCGCTGTTGACGTTCGTGGTCACGACGCCAGCACCGAGGCCATACATGGAGTCGTTGGCACGCTTGATGACTTCGTCAATGGTCTTGAACTTCAGTATAGGCATGACCGGTCCAAAGATCTCCTCGCGAGCAATGACCATGTCGTCTGTCACGTCTGCAAACACAGTGGGCTGGATGAACCAACCTTTGTCGCCGTGGCGTTTGCCACCAGTCAGTAGACGAGCACCTTCCGCCACACCTTTTTCGGTGTAGCCCAGAATCTTGTCAAACTGAGTCTTGTCGATCTGCGCTCCTTGCTGCGTGCTGGGACTGAATGGGTCGCCCACGACACGGGATTCAGCAGCTTCCACAGAGCGCCGGACAAACTCGTCGTAGATGCCATCCTGCACGTACACGCGAGAGCCAGCAATGCAGCACTGACCCTGGTTCACAAACAGACCAATCTGCGACTGCTGGATGGCAAGGTCAATGTCCGCATCATCAAGAATGATGTTAGCCGACTTGCCACCCAGTTCCAGCGTGACGCGCTTGATGTTTTCCACGTGCGACGTGCGCATGATTTGGTATCCGACCTCCGTGGATCCTGTAAAGGCGACCTTGTCGACGTTCGGGTGCTGCGAGAGATAGCGGCCCGCGTCGCCGGCACCTGGCACGATATTGATCACGCCCTTTGGAAAACCAGCTTCCACAATGAGTTCGCCAACGCGTAGAGCCGATAGCGGCGTTTGCTCGGCGGGTTTCAGCACAATCGTGTTGCCGGCCGCGAGCGCAGGGCCGAGTTTCCACGCCATCATCAAGAGCGGGAAGTTCCACGGGATGATCTGAGCGCACACGCCAACAGGCTCGGGCTTGGTGTAGCACAAGTAGGGACCTGCAATGGGAATCACCGACCCGTGAATCTTGTCGGACCAGCCAGCGTAGTACCGGTACGTCTTGATCGCGAGCCCGAGGTCGGCCCCCTTCGCTTCAGCACACGGTTTGCCATTGTCGAGCGCTTCGAGAGCAGCTAACTCGTCAATGTTTGCTTCAATGAGGTCCGCGAGCTTATGCAGGAAGTGGCCGCGCTCTGCAGCGGACATAGTGCGCCACGGGCCTTCAAAGGCTGCACGGGCAGCCTCGACGGCCGCATCAATGTCGGCTGTGCCCGCGTCCGCCACGTCGGCGATCTTCGCTTCGGTTGCCGGATTGAATGTCTCGAAGGTTTTGCCCGAGTTGGACGGCATGAAGACGCCGTTGATGAGCAAATTGGTCTGCTGGACAGCGACGTGGCTGGAAAAGAGGCGGGAGCGCACGTGCGGTCGTGTCTTGACAGCGCTTGCAGTCCGTCTAGCGTGGGCGTCGCGTGTGTGGCGAAAGATCCGGCGGTGCATGGCAAGAGGGGACTGGATCTTGTTGGAGGCGGAGAAATGGGGAATGAGCAGGATCGAGGCCTCTGCGGCTCTTCGGCGTCCTTTGCTTCAACCTGAGTCGAGTCAGTGTTCGGTAGCAGCTGCTTCGGGCGTTACGCAGCCGGGAACGGATATCTTAGAAGCTGAAGTTGGGGTCATGACACAGTAGTACACGGCTGTTGTTCGATCTCGAAAAAGATGCTGATTCGATCATAGGTTCGTATGCAATGACAGTCGGCACAAGAGGGACACGTGATAGCTGTAGCAACCCCTTGATATCGTTCCACCTTTACACCCTAGAAGATAAAAAGGTTACCGACAAAAGACAAGTGCGATTACGTGACACAAGCGTCGGTTGAAGAGCGAGCGACTATTCGATAGTTCTGTGCGACTCGGTGACACACTTGACTTTGGCATGACACCATGCTTGATTTGCTGGTGTAAAGGAAATTAACGCAGCTTGTAAACTGATCCACGTTTTTTCATGACGTGTTGTAAGCATCAATCGTCTCCGCAGCTCAAGCCACTTTGTCCGCGTCGTTAGCCGCAGTACTAGGTGAAAACACCCATATGCTGTTGATAACAATACATTTTTGGTATCGTTGCAAGCTTTGACAAGAAGATCAGCTCGGACTTGGTCTTGTGCGCTGGTTACACAGTGCAGTGCTTCATTGGCAAGTTGCAGCCTTCGGTATTTAAACGGTTTTGGCCAGCAGTGAATAAATTCTATAACTAATACAGTCAAAGTGTCAAGAATATGAATCCGACCTCGATCGCGACTATGTCGGTGGTCCTGTTCCACATACGCGGTGGTTGCTATAGTTTGCACATCGCAATACTCGGTCGACAAACCATTTATGTGTGCGCTTCTTTGATGTGCCCTTGTCGTTTCTTATGCCATTCTTCATCCAAATATCGGTAAAAACGCTATAATTACCTACAACTTGTCACGGGTTCAGCCCCTTACATAATTGTTATGAATGTATTAATTTTGAATATTATAGAATTAGATAATGTCCAATCAACTTTACCTGAGAAGGGGTGATGTTGACGAAATATCACCCCCAAGGATAATATTCTTGGGTGATCCGCTTATTGGTTGATGTAGACGCTACATCAACCAAAATAATTAATAATCGCTGCTGGACGCGGCAATGGGTGGGGAGCAAGAAACCCAAATCGGAGGTTGTAGTTTAATTTAGTGATGGATCAAGACAAAGATGGTTTATTAAAGAAACGTAACAATGTTAAATACAGTTCTACTTTTTCCCTGAAATAGAGCTTCCGAGTTCTGTTTACTTCCTCGCGCTTCCTCACGCCACATGTATGTCGAGGGTACGCAGACTTGTGTTCCATTTACACAAGGCCCCACCAGTCATCTGGTAAGAGCGTACCCCGTTACACCTGGTAGCACTTTGTAGTCCGTCCAACGGCCACTACCATTTCAATCAACATGAAAATGTTGGATGAGTGGAAAAGATTGCACGCCACGCGTGAAGGCTATAACCATTTGAGTGACATCGAATGGAGTGCTGTAGAAGGTCTGGGTTTTACTGTAGGCGAAACGGCCATTAGCGCCATGTTGGAGTCTCTAGACAGAGACCAACAACATATCGCTATAGCCAAGCTTATTCAAAATGAACTTGTCGCCGAAAGGGAGAAAGTAGCCTTGCTTCATCAGCAAGGATCTCAACAGGCCGAGCAGTTAAGAGAAATTGGTGCTCAACCGACAGAGCTGTTGAGACAGCAGGAATTCAATGATGCTGGGGCCGGAGGGGACATGCGCGTCGTCCCAATGTCATGAAAGTTGACATCTCCAAGTACAGTGGAGTCCTGGAAGACTTCCTGTTACTGTGGTTTGTCGAACCCGACAGAGCCTTAAGGGCAAATCGTATCGACGATGAGCAAATGAAACTCACATTTGCTCAGACCCACTTGGCAGGACGTGCCAAAACTTGGTCCCTGGTGCCCGAGAGTAGCGACCCACATGTGTTTAGGTCGCTAGAGGACTTCAAGTCCCGGCTCAGACAAACGTTTGAGCCGCCACGGGCTGAGTTCAGGGCTCGTTCAGAGCTCCTGAAACTCAAGCAGGGTAAGCGTGATGTGCACGCTTGCGCTCAACATATACGACTCCTCGCGAGTAGTATAACTGCTAACCCATTTCATGAACACACGTTGATTACGGTTTTCATGCAAGGGCTCGCAGAAGGGGCCGTCAGGAGCCACCTGTTCCGCCTTGAGCTGAATACGCTTGAAGAAGCGATATCAGCCGCGGAACAGGAAGACTTTAGCATGAGACAGGCTCATGCTAGCTCAAACTCTTATCGTCCACAAAGACAACAAGAGATCGGAGGTCCAGAACCAATGGACCTCTGCTATGTTGAGAGCGAGATCGCTTGCTCTTCAAACAACAAGCGATTGCAGAAGTGCAATCGCTGTCAGAAGCTAGGGCACTAGGCATAAGAGTGTAGTGCTCCACGCCCAGTACCAAACAGTACTGAGTGAAACGATCGACCATACGCAAAGAAGGGCAGTAAGCGTAGGGTGAACGCTATTACGCGTTCCCAATAGCGAGACGGACCATCAAAAAATGGTCGGGGTCAGTAGGGGCGGAGCGCCCTACTGATCCAGCAACCTCAAGAGAATTTGCAAATCTCTTGACGAAAGTTGATCTGATTACACAATCGTTGTGTGTCTCTGCACCTGGTGATGAGATATCACTCTCCACCTTGAAGTTAGATTTGACATAGGATTTGTCCCTTCGTGCTCTAATTAACTGTGGGGCGTCGAACAACTTTATTCGCCGCCAGTCATTAGAAAGTCGAAGGATCAAGTTCGTTGAGCGCGTCATACCTTCACGAGGATGACGGTACACCTTGCCACAGGCGCATCGATAACCACTAGGAAATGTGTAGTGGGAATCCAATTTTACGTTAGATCGTAAATAGAATGACGTCGACTTCATCGTACTGGATCTAGATGACAAATTTGATGTCATCCTGGGATTACCTTGGCTCAGGAGGTACGAGCCAAGGGTGAGCTTGCAGCATCGATCCGTCAAAATGCCTGCCGCCTGTTTATTAGATGATCAACTGATGAACGTCATGGAGTGTCCACATGCGTGTGGATGTACTGCGAGTGAGTGCGATGGCCTCACTTGCGGTACGGTTGTTAGCACCACTGCACAAGACCTCAGTGTAGCTGATCGCTACACCGTGGAGCAAGCCCCCGGCAGTGGCTGTACTGATATACAGGCAGCGCCGAAGGTCCACCACTCAAATCAGTCGAGTGGACCGGGACATGGAAGTATGCCTAGCGTGAACCGTCCTAGAAGAAAGAAACCTGTTGCCGCCAACAGCAACACGGTCATCCTAAGTCGACTGGATAGCCGACCGTAGAGGATCGGTACCTGACTGTGGTTGCACAGCCACATTCAGAAGACGTCGTGGGAATAAGTCCCCACGTGCTTGAGGCTGGACTTCCTCAAGAGTCTAATGCTGAGGGATCAGACTCTCAGCAACCTGTGGAAGCAAGTTTCCAGGAAGAAACCGAGACGTTGAACGTCTTGGTTAATGACGGATCAAGCGTAGGCGCTTATACGATTGATCTGATTGTGCCTCCGAAGTTAACTTTGGAGATAATACAGTTGCCAACGCTAGAAACGAAACGGTTCTTGCGTGATCTGCGTTGTGGCAAAGTCAAGCGGATCTGCATACTCGTCGCGGAGGACGAGTACGTTACCGATATTCGATCGGCGACAGTGTTTACTGAGACCGAGAGGGTTCTCAGCAGCTCATCGATGGACGAAAGTGTCATCGATGAGAATACTCGGATTGAGCGATACACGTCTCAATCCTGGGAGTCACTTCAGGCAAATCCTTTGTATAAGGATTGATCGAATTCAGGGATCTGTTCCCTGAATCCGTACCTTGCGAGTTGCCTAAGGACAAAGGCACTCGACACGAGATCGAACTCAAACCGGGCTCGAAGTACTGTGTCATGAAGCAGTAGCCACTGCCTCGTGAACAAGTACTAGCGATCGACAGGTTCTTTGCCGATCGCTTAGCAGCGGGCCATGTGAGGGAATCAACATCCCCTCACAGCTCTCCGACCTTCTGTGTGCGAAAGGTCACAGGAGGATGGCGGATAGTGCACGCATTCAACAAATTGAATGCTGCAACGGTACCGGCTCAGACGCCGATACCGAGGAAGGACGTAATCATAGATGGTATGTCAAAGAGTACCATCTTTTCGTCCATGGATCTGATAGATGGATTCTATCAGATCCTGATGCGTGAACGGGACATCCCGTACACAGCAGTGAGTACCCCCAGCGGGATGCTGTGGGAGTGGCTAGTTATGCCACAGGGGCTGAGCAATGCACCTGCAACATTCAACAGATGTGTCACCAATCTGTTGAGACTGGTGCGAGGCTTAGCACCGAGTTACTTCGACGATGTGTTCGTCCATAGCCGGGCTATGGACGGAAAGACGGACGTTGAAGTTCACAGAACTCACGTTCGTCAGGTTCTTCAACTTATGCGCAAGCATAAGTTGTACGCAAACATCAAGAAGTGCATATTCGCGGCTAGCGAAATACCACTTCTTAGGTGCATAGTAAGTAAACACGGCGTACGCCCTGATCCCGAAAAGATCAAGGTGATCACCTACTGGCCAGTGCCAGTCGATGCCAAGGGACTTCGTAAGTTCCTTGTCCTATCGGCGTAATTGCACAAGTACTCGCGCAACTACGCCGAGATGACTGTGCGTCTTTCTTGTTTACTCAAGAAAAATGTGAAGTGGTCATGGAACGATGACTGTCAGATTTCCGTTGAAGGTATCTAGCAGAGCTTGATGCAATCGCCCATCTTGGCGATTGCAGATCAGGACAGACCATTCCATGTGGTATGTGACGCCAGTGATTTTGCAACCGGCTGTGCGTTGATGCAGTTCGACGCAGATGGCGCGGACCGCGGCATCTG